CTTTCTAATTTCCTGTCAGTGAGGGTTGTCCCCTGCTGGAGCAGCTGAACATCTCCTGGTGTGATCAAGTCACCAAGGATGGCATCCAGGCCCTGGTGCGTTCCTGCCCTGGACTCAAAGGCCTTTTCCTCAAAGGATGCACACAGGTATGGTTAAGAGCTTCGTGTTAGCTGGAGACGATTTAATTCAGTTTAATATTGAACTGGATGAACCAGAGAGCAAATTGATTTGTAGAACTTATTGTTTGGTCCCATTGTTGACTGCACAGTTCTTGTTGCTTAACACTGCTCTTGTGCAGGTGGCACAGTTGTCTTGTATGTTTCGTCATAGTGGCCACCAATTACCAGTAGCCACCTAGTTCCTCTTATTTTTGTCCCAAATAGAACACAGTTGCTGCTTCTGCAAACATGAAATTCGTCACTCTCTTTGCAACATAGGATATTTCTAAGGAAAGACATGCCAGGTGCTGTTTACAGCAAATGTAAAAGCCTACTTATAACACCATCCTGTTATATCAACAGTCAACAGTGCAGTGCGAAAAGACAAGCATGTATTTCTATGAAGATGTCACAGATCATTAATTTAAAGAACAAAACAAATCACAACATAAACACTCAGTTGCTAGAGGTGTTGATATAACTTTATGGTCGTTTTTAGAGACTGTAGTTTGTGGTGCTGTTCTATTGCGTTATACCAATGGGTGTTTTACAACCATTTATATCAGTGACAATAGAGGGAGTTGGTGGGATGATCTCTAATACATTTGATCAGTGTAGTTTGATTTCACATGACTGTTGTTTTTCCTTTTCCGCAGCTAGAGGATGAAGCTCTGAAGCATATCGGGGCTCACTGTCCAGAGTTGGTCACACTCAACTTGCAGACATGCTCAGTAAGTACAGTTAACAAAGCTGGTAGATAAACCAAATTACCTGAATCTGGACTTTTGGTATAAAAGTACATGAACACTGTTGTTTACTTTCCAGGGTATATAGGCTGATGGGCACCGAGTACATGTTGTGCTCTTCAACTCAAAGCCCATTCTGGACGTCCAGCCAAAATAGCAAATAGTCTGTGAAGCCTACTCACACAATGCATATATTTTTCTCTGACTGTACGTGTCTGCAAAATTCCCCTCCTTCATCTCCACCTGAATGCTTCTTTCATGTACCTTCTCCATCTCAACATCTCCTTCTCATCTCACACCTCAGGAACTCATCATCTCATCTTGTCCCAGTTGTTCCTCCTCTTTGTTACACTGTTTTTCTCTCCTCTAGCTCTTTCTCACCTGTTCTTTCTCCACCTTGTCTCCACAGTTTTCTTGAACAATACTTAAAACAGAAACTGCAGGGAAAAGAAATCTCATTAGCTAAGTGTTAAAGTGGTACATGAATATAATGTTAAGTCATACATTGATTGCTTTTGATAGCTACAAGTGAGAACCAGAAAAGTTGGTATGTTTTCACATCTCATAGTGGATGTGGATTTAAGTGAGCCCACACACACAAACGCACACATTCTCTTTTCTGTGAGCAGCAGATCACAGATGAGGGCCTCATCACAATTTGCCGGGGTTGTCATCGCCTGCAGTCTCTGTGTGTGTCGGGCTGTGCCAATATCACAGATGCCATCCTGCACGCCCTGGGACAGAACTGCCCTCGCCTCAGGTGAATTTACACACCTACACACACATCCTCACTCTGATCTGTGCACCACATCCTAGACCCTGCAATTGATTGTTCCCTTTATTTCGAAAATGAATCTTAAGCCCTTACTGTTTTACTCACTCTTGCTCACTGTGACTCATTATAGACCTTATAATGCACAGTAATATCCCTCGGGGTAAATAAAGCTTCTTGAATCTTGAATCTTATGTAAAGCGATTTCCCTTGTGTGCAATGTATTTAACTTAATTTCAAGAAGGTTCTCTAGTTGATTGATAGTCCTGATCCGAGAAGAACCTTGTTGTACCTTGCTTTTAAGAGACTTTGCTGAAATGGGTGAAACTTAGACTTAATTGGAAACAAGTGTTACTCTCTCTCACTTTTTGATTTCTTGCCAAATAAGAATTTTAAGACAGATCTTTAGATTAAATGGCTTGCAAGTTGATATAATCCTGCAGTGAACATTGACTTAAAAAAGAATGAATAAGTGGGCCTTTCTACACTAAAGTTATCTCAAGCCTCACTACTTTAGGTCTAGTTCAAGTCTGAAACAGTGATAGACTGCAAGTGATGTCATTGTATAACTCTCTGCCCCTCTTTTTCTCCTTTCAGAATATTAGAAGTGGCTCGTTGCTCTCAGCTTACAGACATGGGCTTCACTACATTAGCAAGGGTGAGTGTGCGTTTGCCTCTTGGTTGCATGCAAACACAAGAGTCTTTGTTTACAGATTAAAATGTTTGAAGTGGAAATCACTTTCCTTTTTGGTCCCAAAACATCTTAAAAAAAAAATATTTCCGTATTTCTGTTGCATGAATGAAAATCTCCACAAACCCAAATTGGATCATATAGTTTCTCTCTGTTTGTCTCTTTCTTTGCTACAGAATTGTCATGAGCTTGAGAAGATGGATTTAGAAGAATGTGTGCAGGTAAATAAACTGGGCTGCACAAATAATTTTTACAGTGTTGTTGTATGGAGACTGCATTTATGACATCTGCTTCTTTTTATTTTTGCATCAGATCACAGATGGAACACTCATCCAGCTGTCTATCCACTGCCCTCGATTGCAAGTCCTGGTGAGTGTGCACCTGTCACTTACACATATTTTGCTCCTGCAGCATTTACAAGCACTAAATCACAGCTTGTTCTAGCAGACAGTTGAGTAATGGAGCTACTGTGTTGATACTACTGTGTTCCTATAGAGCCTGTCTCACTGTGAGCTCATCACTGATGATGGCATCAGACACCTCGGCAGCGGCCCCTGTGCTCACGACCGCCTGGAGGTGATCGAGCTGGACAACTGCCCCCTGATCACAGATGCCTCATTGGAGCACCTGAAGAGCTGCCATAGTCTGGATCGCATTGAGCTCTATGACTGCCAGCAGATCACCCGCGCTGGCATCAAGAGACTAAGGGTGAGTTGTGTGGGCTAACAGTAGTGAGTAAGCACTGATTCATATGTAGAATGTACTGTAAACACGCATTTTGTGAACTCAACATATGCCATTTTGCAAATTGTGTTCATGAATCAGTGTGTCAAATGTACACTTTTATTTACCTTTATGCTGACTGACTGTCGTCAGCATTAAAAACGTATATGCTCTCCATCCTTCGCACTGCCCACTGGCTGTGTGTTTGGACTTAGTCATCCAAGGCTAGTTTTGGATTGTGGAATGGGATTCATTGAAGTACAGTAGATCATTTCCAAAAAACAGCTCCTCACGATTTATAGATGATTAGTAGAAGTAAAGACTCATGAAATCACATCTGGTATGCAGCCGCCGCACCTCGGTAAAGGCTCACTGTAAAAACACTACTGATCAAGTCTTCCATACTACACATCACAATCTTGAGGTACTAACTAAAGGAGCCCACTAATTCCAATTTGATTCTTATTAAATGTTATATATTGCACGTGGCAATATACATTCCTGCCAGTGATTTAAACTATTGTACTTATCATTAGGTGGTGGTAACACACCAAGAAATACTGATGACTGCAATCAGAGTACATGGATGTAAGCTATGCAGAAATAATTAAAAAATAGTTTTTGCAAATGTTATGGGGAAGGAATTTTTTTTTTTGTTTGTTGTGCCACAAAGACATGCACATGTGTTTTGGTGAACACAATGAAACAAGACTTTTATTTATTTTAAAGAAAGCTCCACAAGGCACTTTTAGTTCTTTAATGCAAGATTGTTGAAATACAAACTCGACACAGGCAAGGTGAACCTGTTAAGAGGAGTATATGTGATGTCAGGAGTCCTGGCGATTTTAGTTGAACCCTACCAGCATGGACTTTTGCAATGTTGCTTTTGGCCACCAGTAATAGCTATGAGAATAAGCCTGCTGAGCAGCCTAACGGTTTCCAAGTGAGGAAGAAGGAGTTTAAGTGGGCCACAATAAACACCATGACAGAGGTGGATGTGACCACTACATAGCCACATATGTTTGGGCTGGTAAGTTGCCAGCTTAAAGCTAGCTAAACAACTCTATCTTTTTTTTTAACGAAAACAGACCAGATTAAGGAATCAGCAGGAAAGACTGTTCTAGATAGATGTCATAGATTAATACATTTTGTCCAAATTAAACTGTATGTGTTGGAGTCACCGCTCCACCCACAAGAAGTGATGAATCAAAACTAAGGTGTGAAATACAAACTGTCATTAGATCTCAGACACAGCCTGCCGGGGTTGAAATTTGTTGTTAATAACTTGTATTTATTGATGTGTGACATGACTTTAGGCTATTGAAGTAAAACATTTTCAGTTACTTATGTGTTGTAGCAAATTACAGGCACGGACATCTTAATCTTCCTAATGCAGCTTTCCAAATGTTTGTATGATTCATTAATATAATTAAATTTTTAATGCTTTTCTCTCCACAGACCCATCTGCCTAACATCAAAGTGCATGCATATTTTGCTCCCGTCACTCCGCCCCCCTCCGTTGGGGGAAGCCGTCAGAGGTTTTGCCGCTGCTGTGTCCTCCTATGATGTAAAGACAACAACCCCCTCTTTCCTCTCCCGTGTCCGTCGTACACGCTCCCCGCAGCCCATCACTTGACCCTTGACCTGCTGTCCCCATACCCCTGTCACAGAGTACTTGCTGGTGTGGCCCCCCCACCCCGCCCTTTGAGCTGCAGAGAGAGGGAGAGAGCAAAATAACGCCACAGGGTCTCGGGTAACTTTCCCAAAAAACATTCCCGAATCTCTCCACCACACACATACAGTACATACACAACTTTTACACATGCTGCTATGCAGACACACTTACATACACACAGATTAACTCTTAGAAGAATGTCACAACATTCCTGCTCTGTGTTCAGTGGACAAACCAGTATTACAAAGAGGGTTATGGAAAAATCAAATGTGATCACCACTGAGGGTTTTAACTCTTCATCAAATGAAGTACAAAAAAAATTGTTTAAGGAATTACATGACAAGATCTTCACATCAAAAAATAAAAATCTGAATTCGAAGGGAGCTATATAAATCCCTCTTAACCTCTCACACATACTTCCTTCCATATTGAAGGTCACTTAACAGCTACCTCTAGATGGGAACTGCACTTGAGACCTGCGTTAGCTTTGTTCTGCAGGCTGTTTATTTCAAAAAGGGGCAGTGATGCAGTCAGTAAACTGCCAAAAGCCCCAACTTACACAGAGAAAGCAGTCAAAAGCCTATCTTGTGATTTAAGAAGAGAAAAAAAAAAAAAAGCATACTTGCAGCTATTTGCACTTACAGTAAAGCAATGATGAGACACTTTACCAAGACGGCCATATCAGAATTTAGGACTGGCATTTTACTAACAACACAAATACGAATATACACTTACATGCACACACTGCGCTTGCTACACCTGTACCCTCACCTCTCTCTGTACCTCTGTTACAATCAGACAATTCGACATACTGAAGAAAAAAAAGACAAAGTTTGATATTTTTCTAAAAATGGACACCAATTAAGACTCAAGTGGGGACTCGAAAAGATGCCAAATGTTGCATGTAACACCTCTAGTTTTTTAAAATCTAATTGTAAATATATGAGGACTGTGGAGTCTGAGAGTCGAAGCCAGCTAAACAACAGAAGGTGATCTGAGATGGGGCAGAGACTGCTGCCAATGGCTCTTTCTGAGGGAACTATCGCAAAGCTCACACATGGGTGTTTAAGGTGTGTGTTAGAATATGTGCTGGAGCTTTGGACTGTCAAAATGAGCCGGTACTTAATCTGGAGTTTGACGGAAGAACTGATCCTGTGAAAGCTCATGTCAGCTACGGAAGTTATAAAGACACTCATTTAACAGAGGAAAAAAAAAGGTCTGACATCACTACATGAATTCATGCTGTCAGACCAGGACAATGGAAAGAAAAAGCCAACTGAAAACAATCAAGTACGTCTATTTTTCAGTTAGTTTGATTTAATTTAGTTGCTCTTGTTTTTCGCATTGGTGACGGTTCCATTGATAAGGAACTGGTGAACCACGCGCAGCGGTGAGAGGACGTGCCGGACCTCGGCGACTCCTCAACTCCTATGAGGCCTTGCAGGGGACAGAGTGACAGTGTGTTGCACCTTGCCCACTTGTGACCTCCTCCGTCTGTCTGGGACAAGCAGATCAGACCGGTGGAGGCACTGCAATTGGAATTCAACTGAATCTTGAGTGCACAATTCTGGCCTGCTGACAGATATGATGGACATTTTTGTCACAACGGAGGGCTATAATGGACTTCAGCCCCCCGCCCTATGAAGTATTGAAGCCTTGTTTAATGGATTATCTTCTCCTGCATTTGCACCTGCTTTATTCTGTGTCTCTTTTTCTTCCCATTTCATTTTATAAATGTGTCTTTTACTGCTTTTCTTTCTGATTTCCTCTGGATTTCTACCTTTTCTCTTGTTTTGCATTTCTGTTTTGGTGTGGTTTGGATTGCGCCTGCTTTGTGTTTGAAGTCATGAGTTCAGTGTCTCCAAGTTGAGTTTAAGTCCTCTTCCAGTCCTCAGTTTTGATCTGATGGTGTTTGTGTTTTTATTAAGGGTTTATTGTTACTAAATGTCCAGAGTGTAGCCTATGTCCAGGGGAAGTGTTGGCACCAGTGCAATTGTAAAAAAATTTCTAATTTGAGTTGGATTTTTTTTTTTTTTTTAAATGTGAGTTGAGGAGGAGTTTATGATGACATGTATGTATGATGTAGGTTCTACTTATTGAATGTTTCCATCAAGGAGAAGTCCTCAAGATGGCTGTTTCGTGTGCTGCTTTAGCAAAATCAGATTTTTCTCCCACAAGCGTGCTTTCCTCTACTTAAATTTTATGCCTTGCTTTTCCAAATACTCGCTTCCATAATGCACCCTGCCCAAATACATCAAACAAGATGGAAATTGGTAAACCCAGTGTAGAATGTTGATCACTCTCAAATGTCCCCGATCTGGTTTAAGATGCATGCCAACAGGCAAAATACTGAACAATGATTCTGTTCAGTTTGTGATTTGACAGCTACGGCAGGCAGGATAATTCAAGCTGAGATGAATCCAGTGTAATCCAGTCTGATCTGTTTTGTTTGACTTGGGGTTTACGGGGGATTAGGGAACAACAAAGAGTCAAAATGGCGGAGATATCTAATGTACTCTGTCACTGTGCTCCAGGGTTAAGACAGTTAACTGGAGAAAAAAGGAAAAGTGGTAGGATTTAGACTGAGCCTGGTTGTAACACCTGCTTGCCCTCTTCATGTGTTGTATGTGGCATGGGCTGAGTCATCGGGGCAGCTAACATGTGCTTTTAAGGCAAACACTTTGAATGGATTACAGGTAATAATACTCAACCCACTCCTGATGGTTTTATATGTACAAAAGAAACAACCTGTCGTGAGTCTTTTCATGGTACAAAATACACTACAAGCAAAACAGAATTTTTTTTTTTTCCTCACAGCACCTTTGTCTGTGTTCTTCAATCACACCTTCCACCAGTTTACACAAAAGTCGAGCTACTACGCTCTGGATCAGTTTGTTTCATGCACGTGTCGGTCCCAAACACTGGAGTAAAGTTGAGGATTAGGACAGAGGGCAAGAGGTGAATCTACAGTGTGTGTTCATGGTAGATTGACACCTGAGAAATTTCAAAAACAATTTTGACAATGACTGTAGTTCATATAATTACTGTAAATCTTTTCCTTTTTTCTTATTTTTTTTCTTTTCTTTTTTTTTTTTTTTTTTTTTTTTTTACAATTAACCGATATAAATGAATATGTACGTATGAATAAATATATACCTATATTATTAAGACTTGTCTGGTTTACTCTCTGGTGTTGAACGTATATGGGCAATGGTTGTTTAGCATTGCTGGAGCAGCAGATGGCAGCAATGAGCCAGTTGTAATAATTCCTGCATCACTGCTGGTCTGATTGCAGGATTTGGGTTCTGTCAGCTATTCAATGAGTCTGATTGATTTGCTTTAGTCAAGACCAAATTGGGATACACCATCAGTTCCTGGACTGGAATACATTGTATTTTTCAAAAAGGGAATCGGAAGAACAACAGTGTGCCGGAATAGTTTTTCACATCTGGCATTAGTAAATAAACAAAGCAACATAGGCCTGTAATCCCATATTAGTCACGTTTTAAACAACTGGAGTAAATAGGGCTATCTTTTAGGGGAAAAAAGGTGTTACTATTGACATTAATGATGGCTCTGTTGTATTCAAGTGTCCCAGTAAGTTGTGACAGTGAGCCTACGTGTACAATACCAGGCGCCTAAAGCTGAAACAGCTAAATCTAATTCGGCCATCACAACTTTATTATTAACACCTGTGCTTTTACCTTTTTGCTTTCTACTAAAGTAAAAGGCCTGCAACTAAAGGTAAACAATGGAAACATTTGACTTTAAAACACCTGGACAAGGCTCTTCTGTAGCTGCTTGAAAATGAGAAGGAAGAAGCTGTTTTTTTTTTTTTTTTCATTTATTTTTATGGTCAGTCCTAGCAATACTCTTTTGTGCTCTTAAAACACCACTTTGCAATGTTTAGAACAAAATTAACTTAAACTAGAAGTTACAATTCCTTTCTTTCTTCCAGTGAGGTCCTTTTTTCTCATGAGAAGCCTGGCCAAGAAAGCAGTATCTCAACACACCCATGGACATGCTTTGCTTTTACTGTGGAAAGACGTTTCTTAAAATAATTTAGATGAAACTACAGGGGCTTATTTTCAGTGTTTCTGGAGCTCTTGCAAGATTAAAAGTGACATGGTGTGAACAGATGATGAATTTAAAAGATAGGTTTACAATTTTGTGTGTCTGTCTTAAAACAATAGCTGGGAGCCCATATGTACAATGAAGCAGGTTTTTCTCACTGTAATTATTCCTCCTGTTCCTACCGGCTGTAAACAGATCCCTTTCTGATACACTCTGAATGGAGGCAAAATCCACAGTCATCTTTCTGTGCAAGAAATCAAGTGGACATTGTTCAAAATCTTCTTTAGGATCTTTAGGGGTTTGAGACATGATAGACCTTCGGAGCTCATGGGACACTGCATGCAGAGTCAAGTCTCTATATTTGTGTGCTTACGTATACATGTCTGAGGTGAAAGCACAGATGAACAATCAGTATCAATTTGTCCCAGTGGGAAGAGCAGCAGCTCTGGTCCTGTGACTGCACCATGACGACCGCTGTCACGGCTGGGATCTGTCTTCCGCCGCATGGGACTCATTTTGTTCCTCTCATCCTCCTATTGTTTCCCCTGTCTCTAAATCACTGAATGTGATTTCACTCCTGTTTTAATGTTCATTTTTAGCAGCCATGTTTTGGCACATGGGTATTACATGGAGTATGAAAGGTGGGAAGCTCAGAGGGAGAAATTTAAATGTGTGTGTGTGTGTGTGTGTGTGTGTGTGTGTCCCTCCTTCAGCAAATTCTCTCAACTGTTCTGTGTGTTTTGAATTTGAACACAGACGGACCAGATCACAGCTCACTGCACACCGCTCCACCAAGACATTGTGTTTCTGTTTATTTTCGACAGCAAAGCCATTGCTACATGCTAGACAACTTTTGACTTGGCTTTTGTTTGGGGTTTTTGCAGTGTTCCTTTCAACAGTCACTCTGCTATCTGCTGTGCCCTGGCTCTGAGTGAAGCAATAATTAATGTGATGATAACAGAGGCTCTCTTCCTTTGTCTTCCTTCTTTTCTCTTACACACCCACGTCGAAGACTTTCTGACAGCTAGAGCAAACTTTGATGTCAGGCTTAGGTGAAATAATGCAGAGCAGATAAAAAAAAAACTAAATCACATTTAGAAGTCTTTTCTCCATGTATCACACTATCACACCACAAAATGCAGTTTTAGCATACAACTCAATTTAAAATACCACTTACTGCCTTAACTCTCTGTCTTTTAGCTTCATCAGGTTAATACAAAAATCAGTGGCTGTGACCACAATCTTATTACTTCATTCTCTTTCATCTTAAGTGTATGTGTTCTGAAGGGGGAAATCAATAGGAACCCACCCCAGGGTGCTGGTAAAACCAGGAAATGAGATTGCATTTGAAATCAGAGGTACCAATCCTCTGACCTTATTGTAGCTGCTTTAAACAAATCATACCGACCCTGATGTAGTTCTATCTCTGCAGGGCAGCACCTATGGCAGCTACAGCTTCTGTATTCAGTGCATCAGAGGGCAGGTGGTAAATGACAAAGAATGAATGATAACGAGTTTCTCCAAAGCTCAAAAAATAAACTGAAAGTAGTCCAGCTCATCCCATATGGGTCATTGTTCCACTAAAGGAGAAGAAATAAGCTTGTCCATCCACTTATTTCATAACTTTGGTGGCACCGATTCATAATAATGACATAACTGATTTCACTTGGATGTTTAATATGGTATTACTAGAATTACATTTTGTATTTGGTGGCTTTGCGTTTTTACTTGTACTTGTGAAACGTGAATATTTAATAAATTCCAACTGGCATCATTAATTGACCTGTTCGAAGTAGTTGCAATTATGTAGCAACAACAGTAAAATTAAACAGATGTACGAAACATCTTGCTTTCATTACAAACACACACACACACACAATCACCTCAAATAGAAAATCATCTCTCTGTTTGCGAATTGTGAGCTATTCTATATTTGGGCTTAAAATGAGACCCCACCCACGACCGTGATTTATTCTAAATGAATCCTGGCAGAGTTGTAGAAATTGCCCCAATCATGCGCCTCAGACGCACGGGAAGGCGTGCCTCAGATTGCGCTTAAATTTAAGTCTGTGCAGTGGTGAAAGGCACAGTTCGCTTTGGATTTACACCTAGCCAGTGCCTTCCAGAGCACATGCTTTGTTTGGATCTTACCGTATTAAGCTGGTATTTTCACATCGATGTTTTGCTGATTTTACCCTTTCTTGCAACTGTAGGACGGAATCGTGCCACATTGGAGCTTTCCGATGCGCATCAAGGGACATTACAATTAGCCATACGCGAGGTTCAGCCTTTTCCTGAATGCTTGTCCTTGCATGGCATGAGCGAAATATAAAAAGCTGGTGTGTGTGTGTGTGTTTAGAAACTGTTTAATCAACCTATACGCTTGCAACTGGTGTGTGGAGAGCAATTGGCCATACGGCGTCCACTTCACAGCGCGCACAAATCCCTGTTATGTGGATCTGTCACACTTTGTCAAGCTCTTGTATGGCTAAAGCCGGAGACTATCTACCAACCGGACACAGTTTAAGGAGTTAAAAGTTTTTAATTGTTTGTGTCTTGAACGACTCTTTTCATCTCGCTATCAATGATGACAGAGAACAATGAGATTGAGAGCGAGTCGCAGCTCCAGCGCTCTCCAAGCACTATGTCCATCCAACCGATGACATCTAAGGCAAGTACCCACAGTTTTGAGCTTTGTTCCGCAAACTAAGCACAGTCATCTCTAATGATCTGATCTATGGTTTGTACGCGAATCTCTGTAGCGAGACACCCAGATTCAATCAATGAACTTTGCAGAGCAGTTTTCTCCACACACTGAAAGCAAAATGATTGCAGGCTGAATAAGAAGATTATTTTTTAAATGTTTTTTTTACCTGCAGTTTTGCAGTTTTTGTATTATTCCACTGGTTTATGTAATATTGATGACAACACTTTAGAATTGCAGTTGTATTCATCATGACTGCGTCACTAGGTGTAACCTCACACGTATGGTCTGATGTCACTGTCTCCCCCTCTCCAAACTCACTTCCTGCGGGCGCGCGCACAGACACACGAAGGGATTTGTGTTTGGTATTAATCCATATATGCATTTACATGAGTAGAATTTAAATAAAGGAATGGTTGCAATGAATGCTACTGCTTACTGTACAGAGTAGGTCTGCCTGACCCTCAAGTGTCCTACCAAGTGTCCTTATGATTCCATTTAATTTGTTGACTTGACTGTATAAACAAAGATTTCAAGGGCTGGCCTCCAAGTACAGGAGCTGTGAAAGCTTTCTCAATGCCTGCTTTTTAATGGAAGGCTTTTAAGACCCTTGATTCATTACACACTTGATACAACTTTCCCTCATCTGTCTCCACCCCATTCCTCCTCTCTCCGCCCACACCCAAACACACACATGCTGTGGACATAGCAAAGTGACACTGCAGCACAGTCAGAGACTTCACCAGCTGATTGCCTTTGTGCCTCATCTAAATATTTGATGTCCTCTGTGAGGAGCATGAAAGTCAGCATTGTTGCGAGCCATTTTATCACCACTCTTTCCAGTGTGGTCCTCTCCTGTTCCCCTCTACTCACCAGCTGCTCCCAAAAATACTGGATGATACTATGCGCCAAGCAGGACTGATTGGTATTCACATGATTCATTGGCTGCTCTGGCTTCACCACATCACAACCATTTATACCACAAACCTGTTGGGTTGACCATTCAATCACCAGCCTGATTCCTTGTCTCTTTCTCCTTTCCCAATCAATTGAGGCTACACTGGTTGAATTCCAAGGCTCTGTGTGTGAATAGATTTCACTTTAACCTTCAACCTTCATGCTCATAGATGTTGAAAGGTCAATTGTAACAGCTTTTGAACTCCCCTTTAAATGTTAGGCATTCAGTAGCTCCCTATAAGAGTCTATAATGGAATGTTGTAGGAGAATCTCGAAGTCGGTGTCAGTTTGTCTCGACTATGCACAGGTGTAATCCCAGGAGACTGAAAATACTACACATCTATATTCCACCGATATGTATTTTAAACACTTAATCAAGACCACTCCAAAGAGAAAAAGAAAATCTGCCACAGGGTGTAATTTTTGAAGAAATCTAATCAGACACATAGCCATGTGTCCATGATGTTTTTAATTAGATAAGGATGACAGGGAGAGAGAGGGAGTGACTCGCTCTGATAACAAATGCTATTTGAAATTCACCAGCAGCAAATTTCCCACAAAGATGGATATCAGGATTCAGGAACAGAGGAAAACAGCGCCAGAGGATTAGAAGGAATGGAAGCATGGACTTTCTCCCCGGCTCCCAACAATGTACTGTGGTCTATTGCCAAGGCTGGCAGAAATGTGAGCAGTGGAGCAGATGAGATGCCTGAGCAGCAGTCATCAGCCAATAGTGTCCCTCTTTGTTGAGAGCTGTTTGGTCTCTCAAGGCTGTTGATGCTTTGGGAGCCTTTTCTGTGATAGAAGTGCACAGGTAAACCTTTTTCTCCAAGATGAGTACACAGCACAATCTGACCACAGAGATATAAAGACTTGAAATAATACCCTACGCACAGTTTTTGGGAGATTGGCCCATTTGTCAGCTTGCCCATAGTGTGATTAGAACATCACAATTCATCCATGTGTCCCCTTTGGATTCTTCACCCAATCTTCTTCATTCAATGTGAGCACTTAAGCACACACACAGCCGGTTGAATGATAAGAGGTGACTGGCATTGCCTACAGTGTGAAAATGAGACCTTGTCACAGCTCCAAAGCTAAATGACAAGTAATCACACACCATACAGTTTGTGAAGGAGATATTTCACTCTGGTGTTTCATAAAAACACTTGAACACAGTATGTTGAGTGATGGTAGCTTAATCCAGAGTAAAACATCTTTGGCAAAAAAAAAAACTGTCTGGCATTTTTATCAAATATACAAGGGTAGGCAGTGTAAGCAGACTTAGGGGAGATAGAGAGGGGGCCCTGAATGGAAATGATCCAAAGAAGTTGCAATCATATGATTTTAGAACTGGGTATTCAATATCATCATTTATTGTCTTTTGGTGAATGATATTGTGATGATATGATGATATTATAGTAAATCTTGAATGACAAAATTAACAAAATGAGTATTGACAGTTTTACCAATCTACACAGTTTGGTCTGATGCGATGCATAACTGTTCATGCTACATTGGGTTGAATACCAGTTTTCTTATAATACACATCAATATCAGAAAAAAATTTGGTTATAAAGTTTTGGTGCCAAACCCTCCTATTAAATGTTGAGATATTTCACAGGATAAGCTGAAAATGTCTATGTGACTTTGTCATGAGCTGGATCTTGCGTGAGGAATAATTGATCCTCGAACACGGAGAGGATCAGCCAACATATGTTAATAGTGGGGCAGGTTAGGTGTCCGCTGGCGAGCACTGGTGATTATGGAATGAGCGCATATGGCGACGAGTGATTCATTCTGCGGCCCTCTATGAATGGTACTGTGGATTCCGGGAAGTGCGACAGGGCATCATGCAATTGTCAGAGTAGTCGCACCACGCGTAAGATGTGTTCTAGCACGGGTTCATCGCCGTTATAGTGCCAACATGGACGACATTGAGCTCTATATCCTACACGAGCACAGTAGCCGATTGCGCGTATCAGGAGTTGAGAGTATGCACAGTTATCATGGGCTGCAGTACAACTTCAGCACAGTGGGAAGGGCTGACAGAGGTGGTTCGTGACTAGAGTGATCTAGCAGTGATATCTGAGCGAGGACGATGCAGGGAGTAAACCTGTGGGAGATATCGCTATGGACTCGTGTAGTATCGGCATTGTCTTTTAGTCAGTGTTGATTGACTTATGTCGATATTGAAGCGGTGCCAACTATCAGAGTTATCCATGCGTTAACACTGTGGGTATTATTGGTGATATTGTTATATCGTGAGGAGGTTGTCCCGCGAACATCGCCTACCTCAATTTAAATCGCGTCGCACGGAGCGAAGTGAGACAGTCAACGGTGTCACAGCATTATCTGTCTAATTCCAGTCTATTGGTTTTCTTATTCTGCACTACAATGAGTATTGGACCATCGACGGGATAGTTATGGGAATAGACCGCTTTGCGAGATGAGAGAGTCTTGATACATAGGAGAGGTCAATTTATTATTAGGAATTCGATAATACCCTCACTGGGACTGTGATAGTAAAACAATTGAGTTATTGACACTACAGAGAATTTATTTGCGTGTTATGCCGCCTGCTGAAATATCTGACCACTATTGTAAGGCTACAAGTAGTTGGGTTAACAAACTGTGCGTTAATTATATTATTAATGTGCAAGGCACTTTGAGAGGAATGAAGGGAACCGCCACAACAAAAGTATCAGGTATTGAGTTTTAGAGCATTGAGGATCTTGGTTGGACTGCATATAGTAAGAGAAACCACCGATTTGGCTCTTTTGATATTTCACCACCCAAGGCGTAATCTATCCACTTTATATGATATCACTTATACGAGTAGGGGTATTTTTGCTTGGGACTATGGTCATGACACGCATCCCCTGTGTTCCTCCTGATTTCGACTTTTGTTGGGCCTTGTGTTGTTCTGGGGTTGTTGTCATACCAGAATTTGTGTTGTAAAGTATAGGGGGAGTTGCCTAGAGACATGCTGGAATATATTCGAGCGATAAGGTTTTTTGCACTAATATAAGCCATGGCGTTCCACAGAAAGCTGCATGGGAAAAAGTCCTGCCTGCAACACAATGTACTTAATGTTAGTGAAAAAATCCAGTAGCTCCACTTTCGATCGTGTTCTGTTTGAGATCTTGAAACCAGAGGTCTCAGTCCATCTAGTGAAGTAGTTTGAGGGACGCGCTGCGAACCTGAAAGGAGCTAATGAGTCCATGAAGAGCAACAAGGGGTCACCTGCTTCGCCACGAAGGAATTTCAGGATGGGGTGCATTATGCCATCCTATATAGAGAATGAAATAAAAATAGACGTCCTTTAGGATAAATTGGAGCACAAATCCAAGCAGACGGCAATAGACACACTATACACATAAAGAGCTGGAACATAATTACTATTTGTCAGTACTTTTTAATTGTCTATACTCTAAGTGGGGGTACTGATGCTTGCGTATTCCGCGCGATATAACCACGAACAGCGCCTGCCCAGGGCTGAGTTTGCTGCAGCGGCCCAGGGTTAGGACATCTGCCTGTGGCGTTTGCTGGCGTGTCGTTCCCTCCTCTCTGCTCTGTTTCCTTGATCTTTGGCTGTCAGCTAATCATACGAAAGTCACAAATAAGAGGCTTAAATGTTTTATTTTTCACCACCAGCCAATACTGAAGGTGGGGTCCTAATTAATACCTTCTGGTGTAAGAAACAGAGTAGGGGTTTCCGATAGGCACACCAGAGCCAGCAAATGCTGGGACCCGCCTAAGCCAGGCTAATCCATTTTATAAAGAATCGTTCACTCGATCTCGTTGTGCTTCAAATAAAAACGTGTAGTTTCAAGGCCCAGGGTTCTCATATCAGGAAGATCGCTGTTTTCTGGTCCGGACCACACCTTATGCACGACGCAGGGAGAGGACAACTACAGACTAGTGTGAAACACCAACCACCTCATGGGGGAAGCCAACAACCACCATGTTGACCAAGGAGACACACCTAATCAAACCACTGGCCGACT